AACTGCAACAATGTTTAAATTCTTACTCAAAAGCTATTGGCCACAAATATTGTGTATTCTAACATTTATTTTAACATCATGTATTCTATTGGAATAAACATTTAACGCAATAACCACCAAAGTTGGGACATTTGCTATTATATTGTAGCCTATAATTAATATCTCTCTCAAACAATGTAAGAAGAATGAGTTGTTTATTTTATGGCAGAGATATCAAATCACTAGTTGCAATTATATGGTAAGCCTTTGCATTTAGGCCTACTAAGACCAACAATACAGACTAGTTCCTACTAGAAGGTCTGCTCTAGATTAAATATAGGCCTATGTGTACCTCCTTAAAGAAAAATTTACCCAAGAAGTGATCTACGTCTGACAAAACCTCATTTGGGGAAATCTGGTGATGTTAGCCTGTAAAATAACAGTATCCTAGATTAAAAACACCAGAAATCTATAGTAGGGTACTGTATGTCACCATTTAGGTAAGTATTCATATGTGTGTGATCTGGGTTATCTCTGTAGGGACAAAATGTCCCCACAAGGATGACATTTTTGGGGACATTGCTTTGGTCCCCATGATGAAAACAGCTTATAAATTCTGTTTTGTGAGGCTGTGTTTGGGGTTAGGGTTAGGGAATAGAATATACAGTATGTCTATGGAAAGTTCCCATAAAACATGAATTACACACATTACACTGGTATTACAACGTAAACTTGGTTTATGAGGAAATTTCCTGAGTCTTCGTATTAAAATGGCTTAAAATCACAGGGAATGGTAATTTCAGGGGGATAGAATGTACAGTTTGTACAATATAATAACTGTCCTCACAATGATGTGTGTGTGTGTGTGTGTGTGTGTGTGTGTGTGTGTGTGTGTGTGTGTGTGTGTGTGTGTGTGTGTGTGTGTGTGTGTGTGTGTGTGTGTGTGTGTGTGTGTGTGTGTGTGCGTGTGTGTGTGTGTGCGTGCGTGCGTGCGTGCGTGCGTGCGTGCGTGCGTGCGTGCGTGCGTACGCGCGTGCGCAGAGAGATTGCGAAATAAACATACTTTACCACCTGGCCTCTGAGTCTTTATTGCGAACATGAACATCATATCAAATAAACATGCACACAAAATAAAGTACTTTTCTATCCTCTGTGTTGTCTTCTTTCATATAAATCTCTGCTTAATTGTTTCCATAATATTTTACTGTATTAGCTACTAACATAAAGCTAATCTTAAATCTTGTATTTGCACCAACGAGGTTGTGGTCTGCTGTTGTTCTCAATGCTCTGTAAAATGTTTTGTCAGTAAGATAACCTGCATGTGACAGAATTAACTGAAATGTACTTCTGTTAAAAAAATATTAACATTTGATATGAGATGCAGAATCAACCACTGCATACAACAATTATGGTTATTTTGAGAGGAATTGTTGAAATAGAGAACAATTGCATATAGGCCTGTTTAACTTCAATTCAAACAATGATAGGGGCATATGCATACATATAAACACAAACTCAAAGTCTTCTATATTAATCCACGCAGTCTAGCCTGTGCTAATGAATGGCACGTGCAGGGGTGGCAGATGGCCCAGTGTGGAACATGGTGTGAAGGAACGGCAAATAAACAACTTGCGTAGGAATTCTGAGATAGACTAGAAAATAGAACTACCAAAATATATACTTTAGGCTGCATAATCTTAAATAAAAAAATAAAAAATAAAAAAATAGGCCTACATCATCTATCTTGTTTTATTAAAATCCACCATGCGCTGTACCAACGTTAAATTCAAAGGAAGTAAATAAATAGACAAAATAAACATACAAAAACATAAATAAACAAACAAATATTGTGTGCAATGCATGTAGGAGATGTTGCATGCACTGCATTTCAATCAATCGGAAAATAGCATATCCTTTCATAAAAACTGGGATAGTATTATGAATCAGAGTGTAATTTATGTGAAACATGTTAATGTGGCTCGAATGTGGCTCGAAGTGCAGATTGTCCATACAGCTAGTTTTCCAACTCTTCATGGATAAGGTTAAAAACTGTCTCAGAACAGTCCCATGCGGGACTGGCACTGGCAGCAGATGGCCAACACAATAGAGTTTCGGTTGGCCTAATTGGAGGGAAATTTGAATAACTGTCACACGCTCGACGCGTGCAGTTTATATTCCACTTTTTTCCATGCTCCCACGCCCTCTGCTTTTCAGAAAGTGACCGTTAGATTATCTATTTGAATTGTAGGACAACTTGGTAGCCTATTTTCACACGAGTAATTTGTGAGGAATTTGAATAGCTATCCGTTTGAGGAAGAGAAGACAAAGCTCATTTAACGGTTGACGTGACCTAAATTTTTTGACACAAAGATGTTCACAACATGATGCTAAATGAAAGTGAATCAGAAAACCAGGGTCAAAGGAACACCACCTTTAAAATATGCACTTAATTGTGACAATTATATAACCTATACTTGCTAAAACAACTGGTATAGCTACACTGAAAATGTACTTTTTTTTAGCTTTATGTGTTTAATATCAAAGTTTATTGTTTTTTCCCCCAACATAAATAGGCCTACATTACAAATTTTAAATCAAGTAGGCTATAAATAGCTTAGTAAGCATCAGGTTACTACTTTTATACAGTGTTCTGTTGGAAAGTTAATACACACGATTAATCATAGTTAATTTACAAAGATAAGTTTGATGAAATGCATTTTAAATAGGCTATATAATTATGACATCCGAGTTGTCTAAGGTAAATGCAACTGTGGTAGGTCTATATATATATATATATATATATATAGTATATATATATAATAGTGTGTGTGTATATATATATATATATATATATATACACACACTATTTGTAAGCACTGCTCAACAATAAACTATCACTCAAGCAAAGATCTAAGCTGTCCTGTGAGACATGTTGCGCACAGCCCCTGAGGGATTATCCATTAATAAGCCTGGCTCGTGCGTCTCTGTATAGTTAAATAGATGAGGATGGCACGCGCCAGGCACGAGACTGACGCCAAATGGGAGATGTCAGCATAAATCACGCGCCAGCTGCAACAATTGCTGTCCAGCATATGGAGACTGAGTGTGGGGTGTTGTGTTTCGATTACATTAAAAGAAGTAGGCTGGAGCGCTAGACGGGCCTATACGCACGAAATAGCCTATAGGCCTAGTTAATTTCTTATTTTTTCTTAAACTAAATCTAAGTAAAATGTTGTAAATTAACGAGAGGATCAAACTTCTAGTAAATCCAATGGGGGCAAATTTAATTCTCTCAAGTATTTTCAGAGTTTATCGGAAGCAAGGAACACCAAGTAAACGCTATTAAAGAATTTAAGTCCTATTCGAGAATAAAAAATAAATAAGTGGTGGCCTGCCCTAGACGATGTGCATCTACGTGATAGATGCATGAGTAATATAAGAAAGATGTCCTTAAGAACAATGAGCATTTACAAAAGTTTAAGGAAAAACAGTCAATATTATTGGAGATAGCTACTCTACAAACATCTGCTTATTTAATTGTCATGGCACAAAAAGAAAGAAAGAAAGAAAGAAAGAAAGAAAGAAAGAAAGAAAGAAAGAAAGAAAGAAAGAAAGAAAGAAAGAAAGAAAGAAAGAAAGAAAGAAAGAATAAGGAAAAAGAAAACGAAAAAAGGGCCAGCTGTGGCCAGGAAGCAGATTAGTCATCTAATTTTACAGAATGTATACATTATATTTGATGTAGTTTTTATTAATGTGTTTTATTATACATATTAAAGGTGACTTTAATGTACAATATTAAATCAGGCATATTTGACAAGTTTAAATCAAATAACAGAATCACAGTCAAATAGATTCTTCTGAAAGGTACAATTATTATGAATTACATATTGAGGCATCCATATTTTAATTAAAAGTAGGTATATGTCATAATTAATTAATTACTGAATATCACCACTGACACCTCAGATTTGAGATTTGATTAATCAATCAAATAAACATCATGAATAATTTGTCAATTATAATATTATTCCGAACAACTGCCTGTTTATTTTCTCCACCCAATTCTGATGAAAACACATTACCCCGTTTAGAATGTCGCAGCTTCACTATTCAGTGACTCGCGATTGTAGATCAAGTGTTCACATAAATCTCACTAACATTATGTTCAGACGAATTGCTAATAATACTTTTTCAAGACACTGCAACAGTTTTACCCTTAGGCCCGCCGCCCACATGATGTTAAGCCAACATGTAACCTATAGTCTAAGATTTAGCCTAAGTGGACACGTGATAAATGATTAGCCCACATGCACCGTTAACTTAGAATTAAGTGACCAACCAAACAAGCACAAATCCAAGTGTCTGGAGAACCCAAAATCCACATGGTCTATATTTTATTATTTGTGGCCACACATTTTGTGATCATGAAAATAATGTGCGAACGATTTGTGAAGAACACGTATGCATAACGTTATCAGGTCTCCACGACAATACAATAACTTTATATGGGAACAAACTGATCCTAAAATGTAAAAGAAAATAGGCTGTTTTATATTGCTGACATTTTGGCTACCGCTGTGCAACAAATATTGTGCGAGCCTGCCATCTGTTGGTAAGGTAAGGCCTTTGAGGTAGCCTATCAGTCGGTTGCATCTGCCCGTTCCAAAATAGATACGAACATTAATATCGAATAGCCTACATATCAAGTATAAATGAGTAGCCTGTGTTAGAGTTTGCAATCTACATTTTTTCTATTGAATACTTGAGTATATGAAGAGTAGAGAAAAATAAACTATCTCTACTATGCCTTCTTCTGCTGCATAATAATCATGTCGATTAAAGAAACATACGCATGACAACACAAACCAATAAGAAATACTATAATATGCATAAAATTAATAGGCCTATCCTTTGTTTTAGAAAACATGAGATACTCGAAGGCTACAACCAAACAACGTCATCATGAAGCGCTGTCCCTTTAACACCTGAGCCGATTTGAGTGGGGCCAACATGTTACAGTTCTCCTCCCCTTAATGGATTATTCACAAGTTCAGTCCCTCAAGACTTCTGAACGAACCGTTTGACAACAAGCCAAATATATAGCGCTATAGACGCATTGGTTTTGCGGTGTTATTGTTTAGTTTAGCCTGTGTCTATGTTTAGTTAAGGGACATAACAGGTGGAATATTCAGTATAGCCAGTGGATACATTCAAAGAAGACCGTAAAGAAATGCTTGGCTGGTTTTCTTTAGGTAGGAGCTACGCGGTAAATGAAGGTAATTTTTGTCAAAATGCCATATACTGATTAATACTATATCATCTGAATATATTTCTTAGATATATGTCTATACCGGTATGGTCTGGTGATTCAAACAAAGAGGGATGGACAGAACGATGTAACTCGCTTACGGGAGGCTGCGCTGAGAACGCTCTCTGTAGTGAGGACTTCTAACTGACGCTTAATGGTGCGCTAATAGTCATTTGTTTGGAGGATACATCATCATGGTGGTTGAGAGGACACTTCTCGCAGCAAGGCAAGGGGATGTACAAACTTTGAAAGTACAATTAGCGGAGAAAGTACTCAACGGCGATGTGAAAGATGTGCTGGGAGCGACTCCCGTACACCACGCCGCTCGAGCAGGGAAGCTCACCTGTCTGCGGTATTTGGTTGAGGAAGCGGGTTTACCGGCGAACAGCCTGGCGAGAAACGGCGCGAGTCCTGCTCATGACGCCGCAGCCACGGGCAACCTGACCTGCCTACAGTGGCTCGTGACGCACGGAGGATGTCGAGCGGCCGTGAGTATCTAACTTACTTGTTTCAGTAACACTTTACATTACAGCGTCCATGTATAATAAACAGTTATTTAAAATCATGTTAACATTAAAGGAATAGTTCACCCCAAAATTTAAATTGTGTCATTAGGCGACTCACCGTCAATTTGTTCCAAACCTGTATGAGTTTCTTTCTTCTGTTGAACAAAAAATAATATATTTTAAAGAATGTTGGTAACCAGACATTTGACTGTTACGGCACCCATTGACTTCCATAGTAGCCTACGAAAAAAATACTATGGAAGTCAGTGGGTGCCATCAACAACATTCTTTAAAATTTCTTCTTTTGTGTTCAACAGAATAAAGAAACTCATTTGGAACAACATGAAGGGGAGTAAATGGTGACACAATTTTATTTTTGGGTGAACTATCCCTTTAAGGCAGCAAAGAAGGGCCTTTACTCACTTGGAGTAAACTGTGGGGAACATGACACAAAAGGCATATAGGGAATACTTCTGATATAGCAAGACCAATAAAAAATCAAATTACATTTCAGCAAAGGGTGTACAATTTCTGTTTAATCTCAAACATTCTTCCATGACATAGGTACAGTATTTTAACTAATTTATGTTAATATGTTTTATATAAATTTGCCCCACTGCATATTTTATCCCTACAATGTCAACAATTGATCACCTTGAACAAATCAGAAAATCATGTCCATCTCAAAATTAATAAAGATAATTTCAGGAATTCTCATTAGCAGCATAGACTTGCAACATTTAAAAAATAATAATGTTAAGTTAAATGACCTAAACCTCAGTCTTTAATCACTGCACACAATTAGTCATGGATCAATATATTTTGCAGTAATTAGTTTCAAACAGGCGTAACATAAATGCCGTTGATGTTATTTAGTGTTATGGGGGGGGGGGGGGGGGGGCATTGAAAGACAACCATCAGTGTATGCTCAGCATCCACACTGGTGCATAAAATGCTTTCATGGCCTAATCGTCGCCTCGTATGCTAAGAAATTCCATCTTATTAATAGAAGATCCTTTTAACACTAATCTAACTAAGTCTCATGGTCAAAGAATTTACTCAACAGTGTTCCTCCTGAGGTCTTTTTAAGAGTGTGACTTCAGTTTAGCCGCTTGACCCGGGCTGTGGATAATACCGTCCTCATGGAGTCAAGTGTGTGATTCATGCAGTGAGTATAATTATGGAATGAAGCCAGTGTGTTCTGTAAGTGCAACGAGCGTTTAGACTGATATAACCAGCCAATGCAAAACAAAAGGAAGGAAAGATTTCAGTGGAATGAGATAGTAGGGCCATGTTAGTGTGTTTGTCTAATTGCTCTTTTCAGGAAAAGGTAGTCTCAGATAGCTTCCATAAACATCACAGGCCCACAAGAAGTTTTTTTTTGAGTCACTGGAATTGAGTTATACAGATTATACATCTTGCAGTTAAATGCGTCAGAAAATCGCCTGTTCAATAATCTGTTGTGATTGTGAAGCATTATTGGGTCCCTTGTGAAAAAGAAGAATTCTTGTATATAATGTAATATTTACTGAAATTACTCATAACTATGTTTCCTAACACACACTTAAAAAAAAGAGCACCAATAATTGTCAAAAAGTTTTACTAAAGTAAATTTTTAGCTTTAAAGTAGTACACATATTTAGATGTGTTAACTAACATACTAAAGCACATGTATAGTACGAGATTATAATGTAGTTTGAAAGTACGTGAATTAGAGGGTTAGTTCACCCAAAAATGAAATTTCTGTCAGTAATTACTCTCATGTAGTTCCAAACCCGTAAGACCTTCGTTCATCTTCGGAACACAAATTACCGGTAAGATATTTTTGATAAAATCCTAGAGGTTTCTGAACCAGCCATAGGCAGCAAAATCATTGAAATTTCAAGGCCCAGAAAGGTAGTAAAGATGTCATTAAAATAGTCCATGTGACTACAGTGGTTATTTTAGTTTGTTTTATTGTGCACAAAAAAGTATTCTTGTCGCTTCATAACATTAAGGTTGAACCAGTCATATGGACTATTTTAACTATGTCTTTACTACCTTTCTGGGTCTTGAAAGTTGCAATGACGTATCATTTCTGGTTCAGAAACCTCTCGGATTTCATCAAAAATATCTGTGTTCAGAAGATGAACAAAGGATTTATGGGTTTAGAATGACATGAGTGTGAGTAATTAATGACAGAACAGTGTCGATGACACTACATCATTCTCAATAGGTGGAACATTTTGTTAACACTTTTTATTACAGTGCTCTTGTTACACGGTACATGTTGTTACTGTAGTAATAACTATGAATTATGCATAATTACATGCAACTAACCCTAAACCAAACCCTAATCCTAACTCTATAGTAACAACATGTAGTATTTTTCCCCCCTGCCATTATAATGCAGATATACTAGATATAGATATATACTAGATATACTAAAAAATTACATGTAAAAGTAACATTAATATTGTTAGTCTATACCCAATAATTAGATCTAGTGGTACACCTCACCTTATCACTTCAATAAACTGTAAACTTATCACTTCAATCTTTTTTTCAATAAAAAAAATGGCAACACTTTAGTTTAGAGTCCAATTCTCACTAGTAACTAGTTGCTCATTAGCATACATATTACTAGGATTACTATTGGCTGTTTATTAGTACTTATAAAGCACATATTAATGCCTTATTCTGCATGACCATATTCTACATCCGGTTACTAGCTATTAATATGCAGTAATTTTATTGAGGCAAAAGTTGTAGTTAATCGTTAGTTATTAGTGAGAATTGAACTTGAACTAAACTAAACTAAAATGTGACCAAAAAAATGTAACTGCCGTAATGAGAAAGTAGAGGTCTTGTTGTTCCGTTTTTCCTTCTTTGTAAATGCAATAGTGGAAGTTATCTCTGCCATCAATGGGGAGCGGGACGCCTACAGCAGGGCTTCACATTTCATTATTGTGTTTCATACCTGCAGAGCAAGTTGATTGACTACAAAACTTTGGCCAGTTAAATATGATCCAGAAGAGACTCTGGGTCAGCGTATGTGCTGAAAATGATTAGCTAATAAAAATATAGTCTCTCATATTAATAAATCTGTTAAAATGCACCCATGTTCCCTGTCAGTGCTTTATAACATGTAGCATGAAAGTTTTTGCCCTTGAATAATAGAGAGATTTACCATAGATTTACATTTCTGAATTCCAGCTGAATGTTAGTTATTGTATGATATAGTTTAACATATGTTATTTATTATGTACTGTGTTGTTTGCAGGATAAGGACAGCTCAGGGGCCACTGTCCTGCATCTGGCTTCTCGCTTCAGCCATCATGAGATCATTGAATGGTTGCTGAAAAGTGGGGAAGGGGATCCTACTGTTGCCACGGATACGGGGGCATTGCCTGTTCATTATGCTGCAGCTAAAGGGGACTTGCCTTCGCTCAGGCTGCTACTGGAACACAGCCCAAAGTAAGATCATACAGTGTGTAATAGTGGGAGTGTGAAATAATTGTGTTTGGTAGAATTCATCCAAAGTAGCAGGACTTTGTTTTTTCCTTTTTTGACTCTCGTCCAAGCATTTTCATAAACATGTCACAATCTTATTAGACTAGTGATTGTCATTAGACAGGAAGTCCCCCTGTAGTCAATAATTGTATCCCTTAAAACTCATCTTTGATCAACAAAATGATGTTTTGTCCTTGAAAATAATGTCTTCATGCAAATTAGCTCCACTCACTCAAACCAGCTCAGAGATCCACTCGTTGATGAGCACACATTGTCGTGATTGGTTACAAGGTAGTTTGTGACGTCAGAAACACCAGCGATTTCAAACCGCGTTTTTGAGACTGTCTTTGGTTCACTGCAGTTTTAAGGAGAAAATACTCAGCAATGGTGTTGACTAATGAATTTGTACATGGTTTGTCTTAAAGCACATTAAAACACCACACAGACATATAAACAACATTTAAAAGCTTGATTTTCACCACAGGGGGACTTTAAGATCAGTGAATGTTCTTAAACAAGTGGCCCTTAGGTATAAACACATAGACTCGTAAATGTAAGTACACATTGATGGCCTAAGACACGAAACGAGCAGTTTGTGTGAGAAAACGAACAGTATTTATATAGTTTTTACCTCTTGAACCATAGCCACGTCCAAGTGATCTGAGGGCGTGGGCGCTTGCGATTTCTGTATATCTAAATATGTTTAGATCTTCACAGTGCTTTCCGGCGCTTGCGCAGACCGAAGCGCCCGCGCCCTCAGATCACTTGGACGTGGCTATGGTTACAAGAGGTAAAAACTATATTATACTGTTCGTTTTCTCACACAAACCGCTCGTTTCGTGTCTTAGGCCATCAATGTGTACTTACATTTATGAGTCATTAAATCATGTTTAATTTGGACTTCTCTGTGCATGCTCTTTGAGGAAGTGACCATAGACCTGCATTATATGACTGACAGACAAGAACGGTTTGACCTAATAATATAAAAATTGAAACTACTGCGGAAACAAAGACACCTACATCTTGGATGCCCTTGAGGTAAGCTAAAACATACCAAAAATTAATTTCAAAGTGAACTATCCCTTTAACATAATTTCTTTGCAACAGACTTTCTTTTCTTCTTACTGAGATAACACATGCATTGTTTTAAGATCATGTGCATTGGTATCAACACTGGTATTATAAGCGTTATTATTCAAACAGGTTCGAGACATCCTGGTATTCTTTAAACCAATCAATTTACAATAAAGGAAGTTGCCTCATGAATGTATCTAATAGTTTAATGTCAAGTTAATATTTTTTTATTGCTTCCTGACCTTACAGTTCAATAGCAGAATCAGATTTTACCTTTACAGTTTTACTTTTTTTTAAGAAGAAAATGTGAGTGGTGCTTATCCATGCGAAACTCACAATATTAGGGAATTGTGGATGATTGACAGGGTTACTAGAATGTTCTGATGGCTGCTTGGTACGCTGGTATAAAGAGTAAAAAGAGTCCGTCCACTAAGTCTCTATGATATTCTGGTCTTTAGACATGGCTCTGGTCTTTCATGTAATGCCAGTAAATGGGATTTCTTTTTGCCCATTTAATTTTCCGACAATTAAAAATTAGGATTTTAGCTTTTTCGTAAATATGAGCAATAGGAATAGTGCTGCATGCTTGCCTTTGTAAACACTAACTACAACATATCCAACATTCAGTCCAGCAATGTTACACTTTTTATATGAAAAATGGTTAAGTCTTTCAGGAAAGGCTCTTGGCTTCAAAAGAGTGTAATTATTTGTAAAGACAGATATGATTACACTTCATTTCCTGCTGTATATGAGGACTGTCATGTTTATTGCTATACAGTCTGCACTGCAGCCGGCTGCCAAGATCAATGTCCACCATCATTGAACGCTGAGTTTAGTCAGCTATTACTGCTGGATGTCCCTTTTAAGTGGTACAATTGATTCTGTCGATATTGTAGATATTTAGGAAATTATTTATCACACTGAATTTTTGTGATGGTGTGAGCAGACCTTCTCACTCATAACATTAAAACCAGCATATATTTCAGGTGGTAAGTGTGTGATCAGCAGTGATGTGATGACTGTACTTGGTGTTTGGCCCTTTTATTTAGAAAGTGAGACTTCCTTTTCTAGAGCCGCCATATTGCGAGCTGCAGTTTCTCCCATTCATACAAGTGATCTGACTTGGTAATTTACAGTCTTTGATATGGCTGAGTGAGTGAAACAGGAAATTCATAAGAATACAAATATAATTCAGGTGTCTGCTACCAGGAAGCGCACGAAGACGAAGATTCAAACAAAATCTTATTTAATCCAAATATATTACAGGAGAACTCAAGGGAAATGAACAAATCACACCTTAAGATTGATTGATTGAAAAAAAATGAACTGAATGAAGACATGACTTAAATACAGACAGCTAATTAATGGGCAACAGGTGAATGGGATATACAATCAAGGGAACAAACTGGCACACATTAAAAAACTGGGTCACACAGGCAAACAGGCACTGAACTTAAAGTCCCCCTGTAGTCAATAATTGTATCCCTTAAAACTTATCTTTGATCACCAAAATGACATATTTAAACGTTTTTTCTAGTGAAAAGAAAATTCTTCATGCCTTAAAACAGCTTGGATGCAACTCTACACCCTTGCTTCATTTAGTATACGTGGAGCATGAATATGCTAATTAGCCCGGCCTCCACTCACTCGCTCACAGATTCACTCGGCCAACTTACTGAGGTAAACGCTGCACAATATGTGTTTTTATTATTTTTTTATAATTTTTATAAAATTTTCATAGGTTTTTATTTTCTATGTAAAATGTGTGTGTTGTAAACTAGAATGGAAGTGGTTAGAGGGGAGATGTTGAAAAGGGAAAGGGACTTGTGACACCATCTCAAAAGGTTAAATCAGTTCAGAAATGGAACAAGTTGACACATTTTGATATTAAGATCATGTGGAATAAGGTACGATTATGAACCATGCACAGTAAGACCAAGAATGTGTAATAAAGCTGCAGTCCGTAACTTTTTTTTGGGTTAAAAATTATCCAAAATCATTTTTTGAGCAAGGACATAACCAGCCAGTGTTCAAAACTATCTGCTTGCCTTAGCTCGATTCAAAACGGTAAGCTTGTAATAATGTTTGTAATTCCAGTGGTACTGGTGGATTTCCGCGGGAAATTCGAGCATGTCTTTGCGTCATTACGTCACATCTGTACAAATAAAGAAGAGTCTCGGCTAGTAGGCTATATTGCATGTGAGGATGTTGGAGGTGGAGATTTATAGCCTTTTCTCACAGCACTTGATATAATTAAACTTATCAATTTGATGGCGGATCCAGAAAGGTTCAAACGACAATCACCAGTGACAACTGGACATTCACCCGTTGTAAAATGCAAAAGACTTCGGACTTCGGAGTGGCTACAGAAAAAAAGAGACTGCAACCGGGTCAGAGCAAAAGTGGATGTTACTTACTTGTTCAGATGACATTTTCCGGTGAAAATTCTTATGTTGGTCATACTTCCAAAAAGTAGAATCTGTGATTCCGAATGCCAGTATCCACACCGGCGCGGTGACTGGCAGCTGCACATTCTCCTCAAAACATTGGATTCATCCGCGCTGTCATGCCGAGGCACAACCCACGTAAAGTTGATAATTCCGCGAATAACTGCAATTGCAGATTTCAAACGGAGATGGCGACAAAGAGGGAAACCTACGGACTGCAGCTTTAAGTAAATAAGGTCAGTTTTGATGTCACATTGACTTTAAGCTGGATAAATGCAAAACTGTTGAGGCGCAACTTCACTAAATATTTTGAATTTAAACAAATTGCTTCACTTTTGCGTGTGGTATTTCATCACAAACATTTGCAAAATAGTTTAAGCATTTTCTAAATGCTTTGAAATAGCAATAGTTAAGTTAGTTTAATAACTTTAATAAGTTTTTGCAGCAATGCCATTTGGCTTCCTCAAAGTACTTTTCAGTGAACAGTTCTTAGAACAATCATTTTTGCTAAAGTGTGAAGAAACTTGTTCCACTATAAAGAAACTTTTGTGCATGGAAAGGCTTTATAGATGTTAAAGATTCTTCATGGAATCATATGCTAATAAAGAACCTTTACTTTTAGGAGTTGGCATATAAAATTAAGCTATTTTAACCTTTAGAGGAATGACAGCTTGTCAGTTCCCTCAAAGCTACATCTTTATATCTTGAACCTAAATGGTTCATAACTGTATACCTCAAGGATACATATTGCCGCACTCTTAGGTGCACCTTCTAGGGGAAGATAAGGTACAAAAGTTATCCCTTTAAATGTACTGTCCTAGTGACATAGGGCAAAAACACATACTTATATTATTGGGTTAATATAAAGGAATTTTCCATCTTGATTTTTCATAGGATAGGGTTAAGGTTTCACCCGAATTTTGAATTATACATTGCATTGTGTAGTGTATTAGGGTTAAAGGAAATGTCAGTAAACTTAACGGATAATGTCCTCCAGACAGAAAATCACCAGTGCATTTTCCATTTTTCTTACAGTTTACAACCTAGCATTTAAAACTGACCCATAGTATGGGGCACTGTGCTGTGTAAATTGAAGTTCAGCAGTTTGTGTTGTTATCTGATTTGCATAATTCATTTAGCGTACTGGGCGCTAAAACAACACAGACAGCGGCTGCAAATAAACAATGCTATCAGTTAATCCTTAGTAAACCCCCCTGAAAGTTTAATCAGTAAGAGAGATGTTGCTTTTGCTCATTCAGCACGGTGTATTCCTGTCTCAATGGTGACTGTCAGTATCACACAAGTGATAAACTAATGAGGTAAACAAATACTCTTGAATAGAGGTCTGCTATGTAGGAGTTTTCTGCATTGTGATGATAAGGTTGCTTTTGGAGGGTAGAGATAACATTCTCATGTCAGAGGGTCAGGGCAGGTGTATTGTAT